ACACACACACACACACACACACACACACACACACACACACACACACACACACACACACACACCCGGTTCATTTTGTGAGCAGTTATTGCTACTTCTTGGTTAAGACATGAATCGTGACAAAATAATGATAATAATAATAATAATTAAAAAGACTTTTATGAAAAGAGGGAAACAAGCAGACGTGCTTCGAGACGGGCCAGGCTCACAGTTAAACGGGTCAGTTTTTACAGTTTCTCATCACAGTGATTGGCAACTGCCGTGCCTTTGCTGACGCTCCAAAGAACCGGCAAAACGACAAACATCAGAGCTCAACGCGACCTCGACACAGAAAAACAAAACAAAAAAAAAAACAAAAACAGCCAGCTTCCATCGTTTACGCCCAGTCGAGCCGGTGCTACATGACCCAGTGTTTTCAGCTACCTCATCGAGTGACATCTTCAGGTGGTGGAGAGAGAGAGAGAGAGAGAGAGAGAGAGAGAGAGAGAGAGAGAGAGAGAGAGAGAGAGAGAGAGAGAGAGAGAGAGAGAGAGAAATCTGTAAGTGCACCTTGTGTGGCGGAGTGGGTGAAGATGGGCGCCTCTCCCCTCCCTGCTGGAGGAGGAGGCCAGGACTGCTACATGTCGTCTGAGAGGCTGACTGCAGAGGGGAAGGGGTTCAGACACAAACCTCACAAGGACACACACAACAGTATGGACCAAACTTAAAAAAAAAAAACAATAAAACCAGAGAAGTGGGATGATAATCTGTCCCTTCATTTTCAGTGTTGCCATGTCAAAACCAAACCAAACCATGAATGGGGAAATAAACAACCAGACTGACAAAACAAAACAAAACAAAAAAAAAAAAGAAAAAAGAAAAAAGGAAACAGTTTAAAACAGGCAGAGCGACACAACATGTGCATGTTCTCATATCCACAAAGAGTTCAAGATATATTATAGATTCATATATAGGTTCCGACCAAACAAACAGAACAGGAAAAAAACTGGGAAGAATCTCTTATGTACATGAATCAGCAGCATCAGTGGCATCGCATAGAGATTTTTCTAACAAAAACAACACACAGTCACATAGAGCTTTTTAGTGCATACAATATTATGTACAACACCAATATCCTTGGGTGGTAAGTGTAGCTTTAGTGGACTCACTGGTTCAGAACTAGATTGGGAGGCTTGGAGAAGAAGRGATGTTGTTACCTAAAGATTCCCGGTTAGTTTAGAAAATAGGTCTGTGATTGACCAATCAAAGCTTACGTTGCATGCCTGTTTCCTCCCCACCCACCCCCACATTTCCCCCTCAGTGTTTGTAGTTAAAGACAGGCCATGCTGCAGCAGTCACTCATGCTGATACAGATAACAGGAAGCACATTTTGGTTGCTTTTTTTTGTCTGTTTGTGTTTAGTTTTAGTTTTATATGAAATCATGCTTCTAGCCTAGCAGTATGTTTTTTTTATTTATTTTCTTGTCCCCAGAGTTTCTTAAAATAAAAAAAGGTAATAAAAACTACAAGTAGATCCACATTTCTTTCTTCTAGTGCGTGCTGATAGTCGACAAAGCCACTGTGATTATCATTGTGTGTTTGGGGGAGTTGGGGGTGGTGGTCTTCATTTCCATTTTGTCAACCTTTTATTTATTTMTTTTTCTGTGAGGTCTTTACTCCCGTCACCTGCTGCTGGTCATGTGTCCATGTAGGATGGTTTTGGTGAAGGGGTTGAATCCTGCGGCGAACTCTGTGGAAAGAGAAACACAGCCTGATGGAGGATTATTGTGCCAAACATTTTTTCATTTATAACCGGAGCCATGCCAGCCGGAACAAGTCAAAGCAGGTATGAGTATTTTGTGCAAATGATTTACTGTACTTTAAAAGAAGACATAAAATAAAACCAATTTCTTCTCTTTGTGAAATCTAACAGAATATTTGTTGTGCTGTGGCATTTTAAAAGAGTAGTTTGGATTGTTTGAGGTGGAGTTTTTTGAAAAGGCAATAAGGTGAAAATCTTACCTGTTGAACAATCTTAGTTTGGAAAAAAACGAGATTATTTATGAGCAGTTTGATGAGATAATGGCTAATTAGAGTGGAACCAAAACCAAAGTCCTCTGGTACTATTAAASCACGTGTGAAACTCAAGGCCTGTGTGTCAAATGTGGTCCTCCGGAATATTTTATGTGGCCCTCAAGAGCGCCAAAGATGTATTAATTGCAGAAATGACCATAACCTCCCATGAGGCATGTTGATTATTTAACCTCCAAATTACGACATCCCACCACAAGGTGGAAATGCACAGGGTTTTAAAGTAGCTGACAGTTGTAAAATCTACATTTAGCTGCACTTTTGCCGGCTACATTTGTTGCAGCCTAGTTGTACTGTGAAGTGGGAACTTCCCACTCAGAAGTCGTAAATTTAAACTGGAATGACCCTCCAGTGTCCGAAGGTGGGAGAGTTCAGAATTTGAGATGGCTGCTACATACCGCAACTCATCAGTGAGAAAAACGCTTTAACTTTCATTTTTWATAGTATTTCTGTATTATTAATTTCACAATTAATTACCGTACAGGTAGTATTTTTCAACGTTTATTAGAGGACATGTTAAAATGCCTTTTCTATGAATGAAATATCATGTTGAGGTTAGTCATTATTTGTTAGCTGTGTTCAGCAACAAGACAAGAAATGTGACGTGTCCCACTTAGTCCAAGTTAGACATGAAACGTCAAAATAATTTACAAATGGCCCTTTGATGGCCACCATAATGCTCATGTGGCCATCTGTGAAAAATAAGTTTGACACCAATGTCTTAAAGCATGAAATAATTTAGTATTACATAAAAAAGTAACTGTTAAAACTGGAAACCTTAATCATGCACAGAAAATCGATTAAGATCTCATTTGAAGGTTTATGTTCAGATCTAAAGACACCATTACACTCTGAGCCTGTCTGTGGCTCCAGAGACCTCAAACAAAATGGATACAATTTGTATAGTAAACCTGGTCACACCCTGGACATGATGTCATAGTAAACAAGGAAGTACCCTTAAAACAGGCCTACATTCTGTAAAACATCGTGCTTACACTGCTGGAGCAATGCACATGCTTACTAGAGACTTGTTGATTCTCAGTTTAAAGGAAATTCTTACAATTGATAAAATTAGTGTGCATCTGAAATTCAGTTGATCAACCACCAAATTTCTAATAATAGTAATCAAACCAGAAATATTAGCTAGGTTTTGCTGTGATTTATGTACAAAAAATGAATCATAACATTCATTGTGAATAATCACRTCATGCAAATTGCCCACAATTTAAAGTTTTATAAACTAGTATTCAATTGAATTATGACATTTTTTAGACTGGAGTTATTTAACAATGACCACAACACACTTTGGTTTCAGCACCGCTTCCAGAAATAAACTCTATTTTTTTCAAACTGAGGTTCTTCAAAGAGCTGTCCACAACAGGTAAGATATTATTAGCTCACAGTCTTTCCACAGAACCCCACTTCTAAAGATCTGAACTATCCTTTTAGCCAGAAATGGTTGGCAAAAGCAGTTTAACATGCAGCAGCAGAGCCCTTGAAAGCTCAGTRATCTTGGGAATGTCATGGACGTTATTTTAGAAAGGGCAGATCACGCACACACACACGCACACGCAGACACACACACACACGCACACGTTGTAAAGGCTCAAATCCTTTGGACAACGACCTTGGCAGTTTTGTCCTCGTGAGCTGTCTCTTTACAAGATGTGTCTTAGGTTTTGCTGACAGCACGGTGTGTCAGACGTTTTACAGCTTGTCCCCATGAGCATGAAGACAAGCAAGCGACCCAGTCCAGTTCATTATGGCGTTAAAGATCTCTTTGCAGCAACTGTTTGGAGTTATACTTGTGGTCAGTWATCTGAGGACATGAATTCACACTGAAACTGAAAAGACTGTTGTCACACCAACACAAATAACTTCAAGGCAAATAAAYAATTGTTCACTGATTAGTCACAAATATAACTCCATACTCTGATGTAAAAATGACAAAGCACTTGGTGAAAGCAGACAACTAATTGAAATRTGCAACTTGTCATTAAAATAAAACAAAAATGTTAATTTGAGAGTCATATGAGGAGCTCAAGCATCACATGGATTAATTATTTGTTAAACTTGATGACATTTGTCTGGAACTAATAGTTTTTTTTTAAATTACACATTTGAATTTCAAAATACTACATTAAATTAAGAMCTGTCTCTGTTAAATGTTTTTGTGCCAATATCAGGTTACAAATAATTAGTATAGAATTATGCTTTGATGCATTTAACCCAGAGAGACTGGATTAAATGTTTTGTTGCCCACAGGGTCAAGACGGGGCGCTGTGGGTCGGTCCCGTACCTGCGGGGACGCAGCACTCAGTCTGCCTCACTGCTTAACTCTCCGCAGACTGGCACATTTCACTATCTGAGCACCTTTCTTCACATCCACAGAATCCGGCTACAGTGTGGGGGAGAGGACACGGGGAGCGGGGGGATCGTTTACAGCAGAAGAATTGCAGAGATTGGGAAGAGGTGGTCGTGACAGGAGCGAGAGKTTGAAAGAATGTTAGTAAAGGAAGGGGAAATAAAGGAAAAGACAGGATAGAGGCAGAGCGAGATGACAAGGAAGTCAGCAGACAGAGAAAATAGTGCCACAGAGCAAGAGGAAAAGCAAAATGAGAAATGGGACAAACATTTTGGAGACACATAAATAAAGGAAGAGGAGAGAGGGGAAAAAATAAATTATATGTAAACAGTCAAGCACAGACAGAAGTGATGGAAGCTGGAAGACAGATAAAAACTGTATTTGTGGTTCAGATCAAATAAAAATATTAAAATATTGAAAAAAAAAACAGCTCATAAAAGCTGCTAATAAGCCATAAAACTGTTCATTTAAAAACCACCAGAGTAACATTTTGCTTTGACAGGAAGTCTGAAACCACCTGACCCTTTTAGTGACTGGAAACATTTGATTCAGAGCCGGTTTTAAAGACAAGGCTCATCAGTTTAAGCTTTAATAAAGCTTGTTCCGTCTCAGTTGATGGACCAAAATTGAATAAAAGGCAAGAAGACAGAGGAATCACTCATTTACAACCAGAGAATGAATTATAACAAATGCAGAAAACCACAATAATCTCATTCATTTATTAAAGAGACAGTCTGAATATTTTGGAAAAAGGGGTTGTATAAAGTAGCTGTCAGTATGTTACCTGCAGTAGATGGTAGTTAGAGTAATCTCAGAAAAATTAAAAAAAGAAAACTTGCACGGGGAGTTGAGCTAACCAATGGAGAGCMAATTCAAGAGCAAATTTCAGCCATTTATAACTTTGCTAACAGAGCAAACMTGTGTGAGTTCATTAAAGTTTTGAGATTGAGTTGTTTTGAATTAAAAACAAAAAATGCTCTTGAAATGTCTCTGCTCTGATCAGCTGCTAACCYGAGTCCTCCATGAACAAATCATTCTGACTGCTGTCCACATACGTTAAAACCCCACTTCAACAAAACC